TAATTTCAAATTTAAGAAAATATTTTTGCCAAACTCTTAACAATGCAGTCCTTATTATATGATTTCTAAAAGTTTTATCAATTTTTTTCTGCATAAAAAGATAAGCATGCCACCCAAAGTACAAGTCCCATCCTTCGACATTCAAAATCCCTTTGTTGGACAAATTAATCCAGTCAGCCATCCACGTTAATGCACAAGATTGTGCATTGATTGTTTCTGTTGTTGTTTGTTGCTTATCAGATATTGTCTACTAAGGAAGACATGCCTTGATTTTTTTATTATATCTTTTAATTGGGATATAGATGGAGTTATCGCTATAGTCTACATATTTTAGTATTATTTGTTTTTATCTTGGTATCTAAAATCTAGATGCCATCAGAAACAACTAATTATTTCTACTGATAGAATCTTTACACGTCATACATTTTGGTGTGTGTATTGCCTAATTCCAAGTTAAGATTTTAAAATATTTTCACAGTGAATGAATTTTAACTTTCAAAAATATTTTTTTCTATGCTTCATGAATGCTTTGCCACCTTGTAATAAGTCTTTTTTGGAAAGTGTGTGAGGCAGGTGTAGTTGCAAATGATAAAAGGAATCAATCAATAGATCAGTTAAAAAAAAAGGATGTTTCTACAATATATATGATACAATATTATTCCAAAAATGATACTCGTTTGAATCCCTTTAAAGTTATTCTTCCTTTCTCAGCAACATCAAGTAAAGGTGGTGTAGTGCAAAGCACACCCAAAAAAGAAGCTGAAGTTGTAGCCCCAAAGAAGAAAGGTACAGTAACAACTCAGAAGACCGTTAAGTCTTCGTCCAAGGCATCACAGGAAGGCTCAGCTTCAACAGAAGAAGATATTCCTGCTCTTCCTACCATTGATGAAAATTTGCTTCAACAGGTGAGGGATATAGAACCTTAAATTCTTTCCTAGTGGAATAAGCATCCTACCCTGAGTTTGTCCTATGTGTTTCACCAAGATGATTCAGGATTTGGTAAAACTTGGTGTCATGAGATTTTCTCACAAGCATGGCAAAATCTTGCGACAAAGAAAACAAGCCTGATTTCCAAACGTGAATTTTGCATACAGTTTTACGACTATTTCTCCGTTTTGATCCCTCCAAGCTCTTTCTCTTTTCCCAAGGAATGGCTAAATCTTTGGGGTTATTTTAGTAATGTCATTTGATTTCATTTCCACGTGATCTGCAAAAAAAGGTTTATTTTCTGAAATTATTCAAATGTATCAATGTATATTAAATTATGGGTGTTATCAAAATGTTTAATTTGACAAGCAATAAAGATTGAACTTTAACAAAATGCCATGTTCTGTGTAATTAAGCTATTGATTTGTGTGATTCTAGTATGGTTATTAAATTAACAATTTTATGAGATTTAATATTATGGATTTTGGCTTTTTACTAAGGCTTTATAGTTCAATTACCATGGATTTTTTTTGTTGTTTATTTTTATGTTACAGCCTAGATTTTTCATAGCTTATATTATAGCTTAGAGGTTTTACAGTGGACTATGATGATATACAGTTGGACTACCAAAAATAGTATTAACCTTAAAGAATAGCAAATTTAAATGAAATTCAAATGAAGATAGAAGTTGCCACTGACATATTAAGCTGAAAGATCAGATACGTTGTTTTTATATAACTGCCATGGTCAAATTCATCAAACATCCTATTTTAGCTCTTCTTTCCTTCCATTATCTCAAGCTACAATAGTTTAAAATAGCAGTCAAGGAGAATGTTATTGACTTAAACCAATAACTTTATATATGAAATTGTAATATATTGTTTTTCAATTTTACAGACCCACAAATATATTATACAAGCTTCGGTGTTATATAATAGTTGGCCACTTACTGAAAGTCAAATTGTATTTGTTCAGGCACTAAAAGAATTAGAAAAAAATGAAATCAAAGGTAAGTCACTGTGTTAGGTATTTATTGATGAAAAGTGTCATAGCGATTAAAATTAATTCTTAATATGCTGTATTAATCCATTTATTTCCAATATATCACCACTTTCCAGTGTGACTCTTGGTAGTTTACATAAGAGCAATAAAAACACAGCTAACAATGAATAAAAACAGTAAAACAAATAAACCACTTTAAATAACAATGAATGATATCCTATCATCCAGTCATAATAAAAAATCAAACGCTCCAAAGTGATGGAATTCCTGAAGAAATACTGCCCCATCTCTTTTACCTCTTAAATGAGGGAGTGTCAGCTCATTTAAAGTGTCTAGCAGTTAAAGCATCCATTCTCAGAATGACCACATTTTGTAAATTATATGGGTAAGCTTATGATAGTATTAAGAGTGCAAGGAAAATGGACATGGAAGAAAAGGAAAGAAGTAAAAGCACAAGTCCTAAACAAAATCATACGAAAATATAAATTAATCTCTTAACAGGAAAAAATACTCAGTAGACAGAAGAAAAGAGGGTACATAAGCTGCTTGGAATAGAATGAAATGAATTATTCCAGTGGCAAATATGAAAAAAGAGGCTTGATGAAATGAAAGAGGCTGTGGATTGCGGGAAAATGCAAACAAGAAAATAATTGCTACAAAAAAGAAGAGAAATATTTTCTGCGAAGCATAGAGAAAAAGATATGTTGCATAGAATAAACCAAATACAGCACAAAAAATGTTTGTGCTTAAAAGAGACAAAACAGTTTTGTGGAAGCATTTTTTTTTTCAAAATAGATGAGGGATAAACAATAGAATTCCAGCACTTCTGGCCGTATTGTTATACAAAAGAATTATATTAGGAGAAACAAAAAAATAAATTTAGTGCAATGAGATTGGGATATCTAAATGTGTGTGATGAAAAGAAAAAGATGGGAAATGAATGAATGCTGAATGAATATGGATTGAATACAAATGTGAGTGATCAATATAAAGGAAATACATAGAAGTGGAATCGCAAAGTGAATATATGAAGAAAGAGCGAATAAGTTTAGAAGACGACGACCAAGTCATACAACTTTAACATGTACATGTTATAAGCAGGTAAACTAAGGAAAATTAAGATAAATGTACACAAACATACATTATAATGAAGCCAGATAATTTTGAAAAGTATGCACAGTTGGGAATAAATGTATTGAAATCAATGTGCATATGTCTTTTCATGGATACAGTGTAATTTTGTTGCAAAATATTTAAAATAATATAGAACAGGCAAACTGTCAGGAAAACTAGAATGTGATTGAAACTAAAACTGACAGATTCTGTTATGTCTACCCAAATGTACTTTACTGGTAATTTCCAGAACATTGTGCATTAATAGAAAATGTCTGCTTCAAATCTTAACATTTCTTATTTCATAATATAAGGCAACAGTGCCATCTGCAGTAAATTATTATTCTCTAGTTTAAGTAGCTAGAGCACAGCGTGTAGATCATTTTTGACATTTTTAAATTAATGGAGGAAAAGTATAAATTTTAGAAGTTGTCTCCTGGTTTAATTCCAGTAGAAAACGTATGTATTTATGCTAGGAAATGAATGCTGAGGAGAAGACACCATTTTAGTTTAAAATGTTGCCTTTACAATGCCAGCAAAAGGCAAAGAAAACAAGGCATAAGGAAACCATTTCCGACTGTGGGGAAATGCAAACAAGAAAACAATTGCTAAAAAAAGAAGATAAATATTTTCTACAAAGCATAGAGAAAAAGATATGTTGCGTAGAATAAACCAAACACTGCACAAAAAAATGGTTGTGCTTAAAAGAGAATAAAAATGCTTTGTAGTGGTATGTGGGAATGACTGTATTCCAAAGTTATCTGTCTATCGGAAAGTTGCTTCTGCTTCAGCTCCCTCTCCCTCTGCCAGTCTATACATCTCCCCCGTCTGCTCTGGAAAATTGGGTGGAAAGGGAATGGAAAGGGACAGGAAGTCACACTGCATGAAAAGAACATTCACTTCATGTTGATTATACCCAGGGCTTTTTTTCTCATAGAACGCCCAGAACGGAGTTCCGGCACCTTTTTTGGATGGAACTTTGTAGGGTAGGCAAGGCGGGTTGTATGATGTGTGTGAGTTCCGGCACCTTTTTAAAAAAAAAATAAAAAAAAATCACTGATTATACCTCTATATACTTTTGGTATACGGATCTGAAAAAAGATATCCAAGCACAAAAGTTTCAAATGATGAATGCTTAATATTGTCATTTGAATAAAATTATATGCAGCTCGTCCTGTTGAGAGACATGAAGAGAATATATCTATCTTAAGTCCAGACATCCATAGCAATTTGGAAAGTCAAAAGTCGGCAGGTTCTTCCAAAACCACTAGAAAAACAAAGGAAAAAACAACTGACAAAGCCGAAAAAGCACCTAAAGAGAAACCAGTATCTGCTGCTAGACCAGAATCACAGGTAAGGATAAGTTACTGTAAATTGTAAATGTCCAAAGTAACAGTGTAGACTTCTCAGGGTTTGCTTCTTGGCCTACTCCTGTCTTTCCCATATTACAGTTAGAGGGGAAAACAGAATTTTTTTCTTCTTTGTTTTTTACCCCACCCATACCCAACCCCCAATATTAGTACACTGCCTAAAATTGTCATAGTTGAGCCCTGGTGACTTGCTACCTTGAGATATCTATCTTGAAATCCAGAATGGTACCTGGTTTAATAATATTATCATTACATTTTTATGTTGGATATAACAATGAAGTTGTAATACTAACTACATTATTCTAGCAACAATTGCCCGTGCATGGGACTTGGAGGAAAGATATTACAGGTAATCTTCATTTAACAACCATTCATTTAGCAACTGTTTGAAGTTATGACAGTGCTGAAAAAAAGTGACTTACGTTCGGTCTTGCACTTACCACCACCATGGTGTTCCCGTTGTCAAGTGATCAAGATTCTGGTGCTTGACAGTTGTCATATGTTTATGATAGTTGTAGCATCCTGCAGTCACATGGTTACTATTTGCAACCTTCCTAACCAGCTTCCAAAAAGCAAAGTCAATGAGGAAACCAGTAGGAGGTCTCAAGTTATGATCACATGATGATTTGCTTAAGGACCACCGGTGTTCCTTTTAACAACTGTAACTGAGACTGCTCTTGTTAAGTATGACAGTCACATGATGTTTTGCTTAAATAAGTGTTTCATTTAGCAACAGACTTGCCAGTCCTAATTAGGATTGTTAAGTGAGGACTACCTGTACCCATTTTGTTAAGTACATTGATGATCCATATAAAAAAACCTGATAAATATATTTTTAAAATTCAGATTGCATGTTTTAGATATTTTGAACTGAACATTGGTGAGCGTCACATTTGGTGAGATGGGTGGCAAGTTGGTAGTGATTCTCCGAGATGATACAGAAAGATCTTCAACCTTCACATGTTCCAACAGTGCACTCGTCACCACTGTAACTTCAGTCCATCCATCTTGCTGCTGGTTAACTGCTGGTCACCAATCTTCTTTCCATTAAATTGCATCTAATATATGAATCCCTCCAAGGAGTTCATGGTTTGAACATGCTTTGATTTCATGAAATTTTTTGCTCATTGGCGTTAAGTCCTAGTCCACTGATTCAACTTCATCCTTTTTCTGTTATAACACAGTTTTGACTGCTACTATTAGTTAAGACATGCATTTGTCCCCTCAAAAAAATATCAGTGCACAGCATTTGCCAATACACACTTCATTAGGGTCATGCCTATATTTGTCAATAAAATTTTATCACATTAATTCTCTGGGAGAGATTCTGAATGTGAAAGTCAGTGGAAACAGAGCCACTTACGCCTGTCTGCTTCTGCTCTGTGTACTTCTTTTCCAGCAGTCTGATCCCAACAAACCCTTTTGGATTTTGC